ACACACAACTCGCCGCCGCCGCTCGCACCCAGCAGGTGGCACCCTGGCATGCGGACGGCGCACTTCACTGCGGCGCACTGGCGGAAGTCCTCTCAGTGGTTCGCGCTGACGCGCGCCCACACCCAGGTCATCCTCTCGGATGACCACGGTGGGTTCACACCTGGCTTTGTGCCTGCTGCGCTTGTGTAATGCAAGGGCGTCTGCAGATCACTGAGCATCCGCCGCTGTTGGCGTTGGCGAAGTTACCGTCGGTGGGATTCTCTTCCGTAATGGGTGCATGGGTGCAGTACAAAAAAGCGTTTGCAGTACAGGTGTGTGGCGAGTCACATGCGCAACAACATGCGGCACAGTGTGCCGCCACGGTCCTGTACTGGGGCGTGCAAACTCTGCCCTTGCCATGCACCACACCCACCACTCCTGTTTGGCTGCAAGGCGATCGGGAGGCAGCTGCGGGGAAGGAAAGAGGGGAGTGCCTGGCTCGCGCAGCATCTGCACATTTTTGTCCGTCCACCACGCAAGAGATCCACCCATACGGGCATATAAATGTGCCGCCGCCACCGCGCCGCGCAGTGCCGGAGCTCTTCCGGCGGTGGTGCGCGAGCGACCCGCCGCCGAAGGCTGGCGGCCGAGTATGCGTGTCAGATGAGCACCTGCTGCCCTCCCTGCTCGCGAGCTACTGGCTCGACTTCCAGGTGAGAGCGCACTGACACTCAGGATGGCCCAGCCGCAAGCCTTCGTAAGAAACAGCCGCAACGGCGCAACTCCAGCGATCTCTGCGTGCTGGTGGTTTTTTGAGATAACCTCAAACTCCCTCAACCCCAATCGACGCGGTCGTCGCGCTGGACGAGTTTTTGGAGCCTAGTAGTGCCTCCTGAATTGGGCCCGCTGCGCGCACGTTTACAGACAGAGCACACGCACGCTTTTCATCCCCGCCGCCCCGCTGCAGACCGACTGCAAGGGGCTGGCCCATTACGCCGATTGGAGCCTCGGCGGCTGGCACCCGCGCACCTTTGGGCCGGGGGATGTGTGGACAGGTCTCGTCGCGGCCGCGCGGGGCCCTGCAGTGCATTGCAGCGCGGCTGCGGCCGTCGCCAGCGCAGAGGCGCTGTTCGAGGTGCGTGCAGCGGCCAAGGGCGGCTGGCGGCCGCTGCGTGGGCAGCAGCAGCAGCAGCAGCAGCAGCAGCAGCAGCAGCAGCAGCAGCAGCAGCAGCAGCAGCAGCAGCACAGCTTGCGAGGGCGCCGTGAGGAGCGCCTCTTGCCTCACGAATGGGCGGCCGCGGGCGGCTACGAGCCGCTGGGGTACGAGTGCCCGCTGCTGGTGCGCAAGTTTGCTGCGGAAGCGGCGCCCCAGGCGCTGGCGGCGGCGCTCAGCTGCGAGGGTGGCGGGCTAGGGTGGTGGTGCAGGGGCCGTTTCGAGGCCGTGGGCAGCCAGCTGGCCCACGCCTGATTGCGTGTGCAGGTGGGATTTGTCATGGCTGCATTGCATCGGGTTGCTTAGCTCCAGTCCGCGCCAGGCGCATGTTGCATACCAGCGCCCTTTGTGCACGACAGCACAGCAGGGGGATTTCAGTTGGGGCAGCCCAGCTTTCGCTGCCTGAATTCACATAGCCCGCCGTTGCACGTGCGAATGGCTTTTTGGGCTCAAAGTAGTGTCCTTTGCAGAAGGCTTTGCTTTGCTGCAAGCATTTGCATCAGCAAGCGGGCACGCCCTGGCCGCTTCATGATTGCCCCCCATCCCTGAAGATTGCAATCAGCCTGACGTCTCCACAGACCTTTCCAACGTGTTTGAATCTGCCTGCCTGATATCATGTGAGCAAGACCCATGTCACAGGCAGCAGCTGTGCTGCCTAGACCTCGACCTTGACCCGCCTGCTCCAGCCCAACCCCCACGGCAGCTGCAGAAAGGATCCGCGAAAGGGTAAGAGGTGGTGATGTTCGGGTTACAACGACACGCAGCCGACGGTTCAGAAAAAGCGCGCCGCCGCGATGGCCAGGCGCCGCAGTAGTGGCCGCCGCGCCGCGGTAGTGCCCATCATATACAAGTGAAGGCCTGGGACCAAGGAGCCGGCCGCTTAGTTGCGGGAAGCGCTGCCCTGCAGGCAGACTGAGAGGGAGGGTTGGCGGGCGGCAGAGCGCGCCATTGGTCAAAAAGCAACGCCAGAGCCGCCGCAAGGGATCGGCGGGCGATTGATGGGGGCCGCTACTAGGTTTGGCGGCGCCGCAGCCGGCGAAGGCGTCGCGTGCACGCAAGCTGCGAGTTGATGTTTTCAGGCAGCGCGCACGCAGGGAGGGCACATGCAGGCAGAAATGGTTTCCCCAGGGCAAGATGCCAGGCTATGCTCGGTGCAGCCGCTTGGGAGGGGGGGCGAGCTCACTCTTGGCGGTGGGGTTGGCGGCGCACACCGCGGGGCGGACGGTCTCCTTGACATCGGCCGCCATGACGGGGCTGGCCAGCATGACCTGTTCCATGTGCGCAGTGCGGGTGCAAGCGTCCATCAGCGGGTGGGTTGCGCGAGGGCGGCGCGCTGCGCGCCAGCGCGCCCTTCCACACCGCGCTGGCTGGCTGGCAGGGGAGCGGGCTGTGTGCGGGCAGCGGTACGCACCCCTGCAGCTGCACTGGTGGCGGTGCGACCCTCCCACGGAAGCTGCTGCACAGCTCCGCCCGGCATGCATGCCCGATCTGCCAGCACGGAGCACGAATCTGGGGCGCCGGCTCACCACGGAGGTCACCACGGCGGCGACGGCCTTGGCCACGTTGGTCTGGGCCTTGGGCTGCGTGAATGGATGGGTGATTTGTTGGGCGGTCCTGAGCGGGTGAGGTGCTGCGCTCTGCTGCAATGCGCCGCATGGAACCGGCGCATCTCAGGTCACGCAGGCCTGATGTGCCTGACAACACAAATAATGATTTCGTGCGTTCACATCGCACGGGATAGACCGGCCTGATGCAAATGGCCCCCTGGAAAACCGCAAAGCTCGGATCTTGCTGACTGTGCCCGCGGACGCTGCTGCGCCTTGCCAGCCACCAGGTGCACTGTCACAGCCGGAGACGTGTATCCAAAGATCCATCCGCGGCACACTAAAGCCAATGGAGGGGCCCCACGCCAGCGGACACTTCTGGCGATGTCCAAGCCCCCAGAACGCATCGGGCCGATCTCTGGTGGCCACCGATCCGATCAATGCTGGTTTTTAACGCACCTGCTGCTTGGCCTGGGCCCGGACGGACACGGCGCGACGGCTGGCCAGCATGTTTGCTGCGGTGTGTGTTGGACGCGAAGAGTGGTGGTAGTGATGGTGATAGATGATGGCGATGAATGCATTGACATGGCTCAGTGCTGCCTTGTGAGTGCAGCACTCGCCCCGCTGCACCCCCGAGCTGTCCCTGTGCCTTCTCAGTGACCCTGTGCGGTCCCAACAATGCTTTGCCATCCCCCTGACCGTGAACGTCATCGCAACATAGCAATTTTGACAGCGATTGCAAGTTCCTGAAAGCCATGAGAAGCTCGCATCGTCACGAAGCCTCGCTAGAATTGTAAATTTGGCGCTGGTGGGCGGCAGGGGCGGCGCACCAGTGTGTGGAGCTCAGACCAGTTCAGCGTTCCGGAGAAAGCTGTGCCAACTCAAGCCGCCATCTGCTGACAGGCTGCTTACGCATTGACCCAGCATCAAGGAGGTCGAGATTACAGATGCTTTGATGGCGCGGCCGCCGCTCAGGCGGTGTGCCGCGCAGAGGCAGGACTAGCCGCTCTCAACACGTCAACCACCGATGAAGCTGTCCCCATATCATGCTCAGCAACTGCGATATGCTGCTTTGCAATGCGGCGCTTGATCATTGTTGCTGGGGGAAAGCAGCACCTGATGCTAAACATTGTGGCGAAGTGGCCCGTTGCAGCTGTGGAAGCGATTCGCAGCGTGCCGACACCCAGCAAAGCGGCATGGTGAATTGTTTTGCAAGCGCGCAGCCTGCGGCTGGGGCGGCGGCACAGCCCACCGTGATTACACTGTTTAAAATGAATCGGCAGCAAAACCAAGACCCTTGTAAAGCAATCCATTTTCGTTTTGGGAGTCAGTGTGGCCTATAGGGAGGGGAGCGTGGATCAAGAGACAGCTGCGTCGCCCTCGCTCCTGCTGTCCGCCTTTCCACTGGTCAGCTCCACCGCTTGAGTATTGATGAGTGTACGTATGATTCATGGCATGAAGGGGATGATGTCCGAACAGGTGGATGGTCAAGACGCAGTTGACATCTGCGGTCGCTGATGACTTCACTAGCAATCATCATAGGGGTCTCTGGGGGGTTGGGGTGGGGCAGGCAAGGGGACGAGAGCAGGGGTGCATGGTCACCAACTGGCGAGAAATTGACTTGATCAAATATGCAGGTCCGCATCGATAACAGCCTTGACCCGCGGGATTGCGCGCGCGCACACACATGCATGTGTGCACCAGTGACACCGTCGAGACACCCCAAGGCCACCCTGCGTGATGGCAAGCGAGTGGATGCGCTAGTAAAAGGCGCTATTGTCGTGTTTAGTCGCATTGAAAATCATGAAAAGCTCTCGGGGTTCGATGGAAGCGCAGATCACGCCTGAAACGAACGTCGTGATGTGGGCTTTCGAAGGGCGCGACTTGCATGGGCGATAGGTGACAGCTATATCCGATGGATCCCGATCTGTGGCATGCCGTCGCAGCGGCGGCGCCCCAAGGCGCGGAGGCGACCGCGCGGCGCCCTGGCGCGGGAGCTGCGGGCGTGCTGGCCGCGGCGGCGACGCTCCTCGTGGCGTATGTGCACAACAGCCTGGCAGGTGCGATCACCTGAGGCCGCGCCGCGCACGTCCTCCCCCAGCAGCGGCCCAGCCGGAGCTCGTCACCCCACAACCCTGGCACGACTCCCCCTTCCTTCCCCTGCGCCCCACTGCTCCCCCCTCTCCTGCACCCGCACCATCCGCCTGCTTGCCTTCTCCCCGCAACCAACCCGCCCCCAGGCGCCGTTTCCCTGCTCTTCTTCTTCGCCTGGGCCGCCCTCTGCATATCTACGCCATACGCCGCCCGTGCGACTGCGCGCCACCGTGGCGTCTGGGCAGCTGCAGCTTCCTGGAGCTCGCTGCTGCTGGCTGCGCAGGCGTCCCTCCAAATCCTGGACAGGGCTCGGCTGCTGCCGCGGCCGGGCGACGGCGGCGCGTGGGCGCTGTGGCTGCAGGCGGCGGGGCTTGGTCGGCTGCAGGGCGGCTCGCCGCTGGAGTTGCTGCTGGTGAGGGGGGCTTGGGTTGATGCAACAAACTATGCAGTAGCAACCGGGCTGGCAAGGCGGCATCTCAAGTGCCGAGGGGCGCCGCGGCGCACGTGCACATAAGGGGAGCAAAGGAGCCTGCAGCAGCACACAAATGCACAGTGCTTGTGTGAAGTTGACCGCGCCGGGCCAGAAGGGGGGTCAAGCTGTGACGTCACCAGATGTCATCACAGTTATGGTCTCGGAGCGCTTCCCTGTCTCCCGATCTCACCTCGGCTCATGCACACACACAAAATCACACATATTCTTTGCTTTCCCAGCTCTTCGGCGCGCCGCTGCTTTGCCTAGCTGCTGCAGCCGCGGCCTCCGGAGAGGCGCGCCTGCTGCTGGCGGCGATGCGCTCGGCGCCGCTGCTGCCCCAGGCGGCGCCGCCGCAGGGCGGGCGCAGCAACGGCGCGTGCGGCGTGGGGAACGGGGAGGCTCCGACATCTGCGGCCGTGGCAGCGCCTGCAAGGCATGCAACCTCCTACTCAGGGGGTGAGCCGCCACTCAGACCCAGCGCCCCGCTGCTCAAACCCCCGCGGCGCGCGCAGACACCAGGCTACTGCGCCGTGGCTGCCTGCCTTATGCTCCCTTGGAAGCAGCTGTTCAAAACGATCTAGTCTGGCATCTGCGTGACCCTGCATCGTGAGCATGCACCGCCAAGCCTCACACGTTCCCGGCTGCCGCGACACCCTTCCGCCCCTCGCCGCCCAAACGTCCCGCAGACGCGGGCGCGGCCTGGCGCGCCCCCGCGATTTCGGTGCCGCTCCTCGTCGGGGTCCCCTTCAGCAACACCGGCGTCCTGCTCTCCGCGGCCCTCCTGGCCGCCGCGCTGCTGTGGCCGAGCCTGCCCGGCCTGCCCTATGTTGGCGCCATCGTCTGGGGCCTCTGCCAGTGGGCGGCGGGGCGAGGTGCATGGGTCGGCAGCGCGGCGGCGCCGGTTGCGCTGCAGGCGTGGTGCGGGGCGCACATACTGCTCCTCTATCTAGCGCAGGTTCGTTTTGGGGCGCGCGCGGCTGCTGGCTCAGCGCCTGCCTTGCGTGCTGCGCATGCTGCGCCTGCCTTTTGCGCTGCGCCTGCTGCCCAGTGCTTGTCAGCTGTCCGCCCCTGCCTTAGGCGCAGCGCCTGCTGCCCATGCTTGTCAGCCGACCGCGCCTGCCTTGTGAGCTGCGCCTGCTGGTCTGTGCTTGTCAGCCGGCCGCGCCCGCGCTCGGCAGCATGGCAGCCCACTAACCCCTTTGTCTCCCCTCCAATCCCCCTCCTCAACCCCTCAATTGCGATGACTCATCTGGGCAGATTCCCGAGGGCTTCCTGCCTAGCTTGGACGCCCCCAGGGCGTGGCTGGGCCTTTACAATGTCTACAACTGCGGCGACGTCACACCCAGCCCAAACAGCGGCGGCGGTGGAAGCGGCGGCGACGCGCCTGCGGCGGCGCCGCCCTGCACGGTGCAGCTGCTGCACTTCGTGTCGCTGCACCTGCTGTTCGTGGCGCTCGGCGCCTACGCATCGCTGACTAGGCAGCCGCTCTACCAGCGCCTGCGGAGGGAGGACGAGGAACGGAGGGCAGCGGCCAAGGCGGCGGCGCCCCGCGGCCGCGGCAGCGGCGGCCGCGCCGACGCTGCAGCCTCGCGGGCGGCGGCAGACGCGGGGGCGCTGCGGGAGCCGCTGCTGTCAGAGGGCAGCGCCGAGACGCCCGCGGCGCAGCTGATGCTCGGCGGCTCCCCCGGCGGCGGCCCGGCGCCGCATCCCGAAGCGCCCTCGCCGCTCGGCGCCAGCCCGCGCGGCCGGCCGTCCCCCGCCGCGTCCGCGCCCGTGCAGCCGCGGCAGCCCGGCGCGCCGCCGGTGCCGCCGCCGCCGCTGCACTGGTCACAGCAGGCGTCTGTCTTCCTGGAGGTCCTCCTGCCCGCCCTGGCCGCCGCCCTCGAATACGCAGCCTCCTCCCTCCTGTCCACGCCCGCCGCGGCGGGCATCGCAATGGCGGCGCTATCTATGGTGCAGGTCTCCGTCCTCGGAGGCCTCACCCTGCTCGTCGCCGTCTGGTCGCTCCTCGCGCCCGGCCGCGGCGCCTCCGCCGGCGGCGCCGCGCTGCGGCGCGCGAGCCCGGCGCTCGCCGCGTTCTACATGGCATGGCTGGTCGACGCCTACGTGGCGGTAGCGCTCGGCGGCCTCGTGCGCGCGCCCGTGGAGGTCGTTTCGCTCGGCGTATGGGGCTTCAAAGACGCGGCCGCACCCGCGGCCGCGCAGCTGCTGCTGCAGCTGCTGGCGACGCTCGCGGTCGCCGGCCTGTGCCGCGCCCACAGCACTGCGCCCGCCGCCGCCGCTGCCGCCACAGCAGCCGCAGACGTCCCCGCTGGCCCCTCTGCGCTCCCCACTTCCACCCGGGCGGCGGCCGGCGCGTGCGGCAGATCCTCGGACCCATCCGAAGCAGTGGCCACGGCAACGGCGGTGGCAGCGGCGGCTGCAGATGTTGCTGAGGTTGGCGGCGGCGGTGGAGGCGCTATCGCGTCGAGGAGCGCGTCAATGGCAGCCTCGGACATCCTGCACCTGCTCAGCTTCCGAGGGGAGCAGCGCGCGTCCTCTGACGGTGCGTCCTCTGGATTGAGTTTGCATCTGCTGTGCTGGCGTACTGTTGTGGCTGCGGGAATTGATTGGGGCTCTAAGCGATGCGCAGTGACTGGCAGCGCCGCTCCGGATTGGTCGGGGCAGTGCCAGCGCTGGGGTGCTTGGTTGTGGTGGGTCGGCTGCATTGTGTGAGGCTTTGACACCTTGATGCTTACCTTCGGTCACGGATCCGAACGTGTCAACCCTGATCCCTGGACCTTTCACCCTTGAAACTCTCTGCTGTAGCAGGCGGCGCGGTCGCGCCCGCGCGGGCGGGGGTGGAGGACGAGGATTCAGTTAGGGCGCTGTGGGAGGCGACGGTGACTGGGTCTGGCCAGGTGAGCCTCGGAAAGCGCGATGTACCTGGGATTCCAGAAAAGTTCGAGCTGCCTTGGACGCCTGCCTTTGGCGCTCGGGGCCGGTTTGACATGCGCTGCGGCGCGCCTCCCAGCTTCTGGTTTGGTTGTCTTGACGGGTCCCAGAATCAGCGGGCAGCCCAAGCATGGCCCGTTGATGCGGGACCCTGTGCACTCCCCTGCACTGAGCTGATGCTCTGACGCTGTGTCAGCACGCCTCGCACTTACTCATGCCCCCGCCCGCGCCGCGTGCAGGTGCTGTGGCACGCCGGCCGCCTAGCGGTCCCTCTGTCCTGCGCGGCGCTCGCGGCCACGCATCCCGATCTCCTCCACACAGCCTACATGCTGGCAATGCTCTTCTAT